GGTGGAAGATTTGGGCTTTTCCTCCCATGGTTCCTCTGAGCTGCCGCCTACTTTGTCCCTGTGCTGTGTGGCTGTGACTTGGGGTGTCCTGGCTCACCAAGCCCCTCATGCTGCCTCCAGACCCAGAGGTGACACCACTCCAGGTGACTCCCAAGGTAGAGGTGACAGCAGTCCAGGTGACTCCCAGGGGCAGGGACACCCTGCCCTCACCCACTGCCCCTCACACCACCCTCAGTGTCCCAAGGATGCTCCAGGGGGATCCCCGGAGCTCCAGTGAAAAACACCCCAGGTTACAGCTCAGGGCCTGTCAGAGCTCACTGAGGGGTGATGGATATTTTGGAAACACCAGTTTCTTACTTGGCAGAGCTTCTATCGAGTTTTTTTTAAAAGCAAGTCCAGAGTGCTCTTGTTCTTCGCTCCTTGGCCCTGGCACAGGGACCATGTTTCACCCCCTGGCACCCAGCACAGACCTTCCTGATGCTGCAGAGCCTGGCACAGATCCCTGCCTTTTGCTTTATTGCTATATTCATTGATAAGAGGCTTTATTAACATAGTTTAAGCTTAGCAAAATGGAGTTTGTGTCCATGCAAGCCCTATGATTTATAATTACTTTCTAGGATATATCTTGTGGTTGATTTTTTACGTTAGACAGTGACTTCATCCTTGTGCTCTGATAATTTCCTTCCCTGCCTGGCTTTTATCCATTTTACCCAAAAATCTCAGAGAAAAAAAAAAAAAGCCAAGAGGAAATTCTCCTTCTAAGCAGCACCGAGCCCTGAGCAGAAGTGGGATGATGGGTGACAGCCCAGCTGAGCACCAGCTGGAGCAGTGAATGGGTTTGGGCATTCCCAGGACCTGGGGGAACACAACGACCCCACCAGTACCACACTGTGAAGTGTTTTATGTGATGAGTAACAGGTATCAGCACAAAAACAGCCCTTGTAAATGTTCTGTGTCGAGGTTTTAAACAGTTCTTTAATCCAGCTGCTCCCAGGTTTGGAGTATTGAGTGTATTTTCAAACACTTTGGTTTCTTCTCCGCTCCCAGGGAAGCTGTGCCATCTTTGGAACACAAGGCAGTGAAAACAAGAGTGGGTGCTGTGAAAACTTAACTTCATGTGAAAAGGAATTTCCTCAGGCCCTGCAGGCACGGGCTGGGCACAGGAGCCACAGCAGCCCCACGATGAGCTCTGCCCTTGTTCCATTTTCTGGCCCTTTCAGCTGCTCCCTCCCAGCCCCTGCTCCAGGGTCTCAGGCCATGCCCTGGGCCATCACACAGACCTGAGAGGAGAGGAAAGGAGGGGAGAGCCCCAGCCCCAGAGGTCAGGGCAATCCCACCCGTGAGCCACTGCCACTAACGAAGGCACCCAAAGTCAGTGTCCTTGCCTTTGTGTGGCCAAGGCACACAGGGATTCATTCACTGGAGTGTTTCTCAGGTGAGAAAGGACTTCTGCAGTAAAGCCAAAAGGTTTAGAGAAATCACTCCTAAATCCAGCAATATTTATCAATTTCTTGTTCATGTATTACCAGACCGAGAGGAGAGGGGAAACATCCAGTTTAAGAAACTGGGAGGTCTCCAGTTGAGTGGTTTTATTCCTCAGTGTATTCCTCTATTTCACATCATGCCATGGACAATTAGCACCAGTGTTTTCACTGGGATTCCCACCAGAGCAGGCAGAAGAGCACAGACAGTGGGCAGACCCCTCTCCTCTCCTCCGTGGTGCTCCTGCCTCCTCCACAGGCAGATCTGATTTCTTCCAGCACGTGCTGCTCTCCCTTCAGCTGAGCCTTCTCCTCTTGGGCTGCTTTTCTGTCTTCCATGGAAACTGGAAATCAGATCTCAAGATGCTCTTCTTACTGGTTTGGGTAAGAAGGGACCCTAAATCCCATCCATGTCACCTCTGCCATGGCAGGGACACCTCACACTGTCCCAGGCTGCTCCCAGCCCTGTCCAGCCTGGCCTTGGGCACTGCCAGTGAAGCCACAGCTTCTCTGGGCACCCTGTGCCAGGGCCTGCCCACCCTCCCAGCCAGGAATTCCCTCCCAATACCCCACCCAGCCCTGCCCTCAGCCCTCCCCTGTCCTATCACTCCCTGGGGGCAGTAGCCCTGGGGAGCCTGAGCTCCCTCCCCAGCAGGGCACAGCAGCTCCACAGTCCTGTCTGCCCTCCACAGCCCCAGCCCAGCTGCTGGGGAAGGCACAGGGGTTTACCTGGTCATGCAGGTGCCCACAGCCCTGCCACTTGGTGGTGTGAAGTGGCTGAGCTGGCCCAGACCCAACCCAAGTGTCTGAGCCTGTGAACCCACACCAAACACAGCGTGGCTTCTGCAGACCCAGCAGCTCCCGTCCCCCGAGCCTCTGTCTGTGCAGAACACGAGCTGGAGGTGTCTGCAGCTTCAGGCCACCGCTGCAGGAGCAACAGGAATGCCAGATATTCCAGTTCTCTGGAATTCAAGCCCAAATAAGGCCCAGATGCCAGGAGAGCAAACGTAAGGCTGATCGACCAAGTTTGGGCAAATGTGATTCAGAGTTCCCAATGCTGCAGATTTTGCCTTGTAGGATAAAATTCCTAATTCTGTGTTCACTTATTCCTGTTTAAAGAGGAATCTGTGGAACCTCTATCCATCTCTGTCAGCCCCAGCGGCTTGTTTGTGGGGACTGCACATTTGAGAAGTTCAGCTGTGAACCAAAACCAGTTTCATGGGTCAGTAGATCATATAAATACCAAAAAATCCAACAAATGCCCCAAAATGGAATCACCATTTTCTGACAGGCTTGCTTACAAAAAAGATGGACCCCTTGGAGATTTTTGTTACGCCTTCCATGGAAAAAGATGAAATGCCCCCAGACAATCAGTGTTTGCCATGAATAAATAACCAGGTGCAATAACACATCAAAACTCAATTAAACATTGTCCTACAGCAACAATTGCTACAGAAGTGACATTTATTGACGTTCTGCTGTATTTACAGGTTGAACATAGTAAAACTCCAAAGTGAATGACCACTTGGCAGAAAGCACAGGAGTGCACATTAAATCTACATTTCCAACGCATCAGAGTCTCTGCTAACACAAATTATAAAAGCAAGAATTACAGGTATGTTAGGAATTGTCTCAAAAGTCCCAAGCCAAAGAGAAAAAAAAAGGCCTTTGTTTTGCAAGATGGTTTTTATACAAAGTTGCAACATGATCTTTTAGTTTTACACTACAGACTTGTTCCGTGAAAACCCCTGGAGAGCCCAAAAAGTTGGTGGTGCGAAAGGAAAAGATACTACAACACCGAGAATAAAGACTGTTAAAAGTTAATACTTGTGCCTCTAAATTCCCAATGACACCTCGGAGTCTGGACTGCAGCGACCCCTTTTCCTCCACAGCCCCTGGGTGCTGGGGGACTGCAGGAGCACAGCCACCCCTGCTGTCACCTGAGCCCTGGAGCCACCCCTGTGCTGCCAGGCAGGACACGGGGACAGGGATGGACAGACAGGACACGGGGACAGGGATGGACTGGGATGGACAGGACAGGGGGGACAGGGACAGGACACAGGGCACAGAGATGGACAGGGACAGGACATGATGTACATGAAGCACACAGGATGGACAGGACACAGAGGACAGGGATGGACAGGGACAGGACATGATGTACATGAAGCACACAGGATGGACAGGACACAGGGATGGACAGGACATGATGCACATGGAGCACACGGGATGGACAGGACACAGAGCACATGCAGTTCCATGGGCTGTACAGGACATGATGCACACAGGCTGTGCAGGATGTGACACGTGGGGACTGTACAGGACATGGAGCTCCATGGGCTGTACGGGACACAGGGCACACACACTGCACAGCACAGGGTGTCACACACTGCACAGGACATGTTGTCACACACTGCACAGGGTGTCACACACAGCCCAGCACAGTGTCACACTCTGCAGGACACAGTGTCACTCTGCCCAGCACAGGGTGTCACACACTGCACAGGACAGTGTCACACTCTGCAGGACACAGTGTCACACTCTGCAGGACACAGTGCCACTCTGCCCAGCACGGGGTGTCACACACAGCCCAGGAGGTGTCACTCTGGCCAGCGCAGGGTGTCACACACAGCCAGGGCAGTGTCACACTCTGCAGGACACAGTGTCACACTCTGCAGGACACAGTGCCACTCTGCCCAGCACGGGGTGTCACACACAGCCCAGGAGGTGTCACTCTGGCCAGCGCAGGCAGCTCCAGGCTGCAGCAGGAGCTAAAGCAAGGCTGGCCCCTGCTGGCCCCGGGGCTGCTGCTGCCCCAGCTCCGCCGGGGCTGACCCACTGCGAGAGCTGCTCCAAACATCAGCACTAATGAGTCAACAATTACAGAATTCTGCATTAATTATTCAAATTTTACACCTAAAAACAAACCGAAAGAAATGCTTCTCCTTTTTTTTTTCTTTTTCCAACAGTACTTTTATTTATTTATTTTAAAGCAGGTGATTATTTTTTCTTCTGCTCCAGAGCCTTGATTCACTTCCTGCAGGTGTCCTGCTGCTTCTTGGGGGGGATTTCACTAATGCAGGAAGACATTTGCCAGAAAACATCTGTTGGAGAAGGATATTGAACACCGAGGCTGCAGTCAGAGGGTTATTTTGGATAACAGGAGGATGTTGTTCACACAGCACAGGATGTCTAAGGGCTTATGAAGTGTCTCAGCACACAATGATGTGACTGCAGCGAAATGCCCAGGAATCTGAGTGTATTTTACAGGATAACACCGGGATTGTGTCCCTTACTGCACACACAGCTGGAGCAGAGAACTCCAGCTTTCCACCAGATTCATTTCATCAGGTTGTATTTTCTGCTTTGCACTCATTATTCCCCTCCTAATTTTCTAAAAATTATCCCGGCTCTGAAATAAAAATAATCCCTCAGTGTGCCCTTTGCATCATGCCCTGAAGAGGAAATCTCATCTAAGGACAATAACACACTAAAAATCCAAGTCTTTTGTGGTTTCTTCACTCAGAATTCAGGATTACAGATTTATTTTCAGGGGAAGTATCACAGTTGAAATATTTATGAACTATTCTCGACAGTTATATCAGCATATCTGAAAGTGCTTTTTGATAATGCTTTAAAATGAAACATAAATAAGATTTTAAACACTCCACCTCCACAAGCAAGGAGTGAAGCCAGGTCTTTAAAACTGTAATTTCAAATTTCAAACATAGGAAAAGTCTATGCAAAAAGAAACCACAGAGTTCCTTTAGGAAATAAAAAATAAAGTTTTGATAAAGGAGCAAAATTTTTTTTAATTGTTCAGTCAGACAAAATACAGAGATAAAGCTGACTTGAAATGCCCACATCCCGTGACCATAAACTGGGGGAAATGAAGCCTCTGGTGACTCAGCAGGAATCTGGGAGGACATTACAGCTCCTGGAGGAGGTCACAAACCAGAACTTTGTTAACCAGAACTGAAACACGTCAAGAAATTGGCTGAACTATTTTTACACACTATCACCAGAGGAAAGCAGTGCACAAAGGCTGCTCTGTGCTGCAGGTTCCCCTCTCAGCCTGGAAATGAAGTAGAATCGTGGGCAATTTGCAGTTTCTAATAAAAGGGAAGTGCATTTGGAAACCCGAGGCTCGGTTTTCAAATCTCAACAGTTTAATGACCCCCAATTTAAAGCTGGGGCTGGTTTGGTTTCTTTGACTGTCCCAGCTGCAATTGCCTCTCTGGGGAAATGCAGTGTTATTATGATATTTCTAAAGGGAGCATCGTGTTGCACTCCCCAGCTGGGAAGCAACCTATTCCAGGATTTCCTTCCCCTCGGGGAGGGACAGTTAATGCCAGGCCATTATCTGCTGTGAGCAGGAAATTATGCTACAAGGCTCCAGCCACTTCAGCCTCCTCCTTTAAAGCCCATTAAGGCAGCCAGGCTGAGGTTGAGCACTGAAGAAAAAGACTCCCAGCACTCAGGTTTCTGCAAGATGCTCAGGCAGGACAGCTCAGGTGTGTGGGAGGGCCTGAGGAGAGCAGAGGTGTGCAAGGGTGTCACTTCTTCAGGAAGCTGGCAGCAATTTCAAACTGCAGGATTCAGACAAATTGCTCGTTCTGGGACAAAAGCCAAAGGCAGTGGCACGCCCCTCTGACAACATTTTGTGACCTCTCCTCGGGTTTGGGACACACCACGTGTTTCAGGCATGTGATTTGTTCTCAAAGACACATTTGCCAAATACTCAGCAGTATCAAGGGGCAGGGGGTTTGTTCTCACAGTATCTAGCCAGGGAATTAAATGAATATACAATTCATCACAACAAAAACTCAGGGAGAAATGTCCAGTGTTCCTCTGCCTCCCATCAGGTCAGCCTGGGCTCTGCAGACTCAGGAGCTGGGTAGGGGGTACCAAGAAATAACTGCTCCCTGCTTCCTTGAGTTCTAAAAATATTCAAGTGATGGAAAGTGTAGCCTAGAAAAGTCACTAAACAGAGTTAAAATCAAAGCAGAACAAATTCAGGAAAGCAGAAAATTTACCTTCAGTAAATAAAGAGAACTCTGGTTCTGGGAAGAGTGGAAAACGTATCTGGCATCTTCCTAACCTTTGCATAATTAATAAATCCTCTGAGAAACAGCAGAAAACCTGCAGGGGAGAGAGACATTTGTCCAGTTAACACAGGTGCTGCTTCTTCAAGGAGAGGGAGCAGCTGAACTCCCTGCCACCACTGCAGAGGGACCTCATCACTGGGATGCACAGCAGCTGATCACACACAGTAATTATTTCTGGTAGCAGTAACACCTCATCTTTCCAATTCAAGTAACTTCAAAAACAAACTTTCCTTGGGCAATCACAAAACTCTTGACTCCAAACAAGATCCAGTCACTCCCAAAGCAGGAAAAAAGAAAATAAAATGAGGAAGGGAACAAACCACTCCTCCATTTAAGATGCAAGGGCAGACACAACATCAGTTACAAGCATTATTCTCTTCTTAACTTCTTGATGTGTCAGGGTGCTGCCACCAAGAACTGGCAGGACAGTGTTTACTGTGCCTTTAAAACCTGCATGTGCTCACTCAGAGGAGTATGAGGGTCACATTTCATCTGGACATCCACACACACATATTTAACAGCCAGGAATGCTCACAAAATCCTAACTGACTTCACAGTTTCCAAGCATCTTTCCCCCCACAGACACTCACCTAGTACAAGGAAGACCCACCAAAGCCAATACTGGCCATCAAAGTAACCAGGAAAATAGGTGGAGAACTGAAAAAGAGCAAAAAAAAAAATACAGTTTAGAGCACATGGAAGTTTGTGAACCAAAGTCTATCCCATCAATTTTAGCAGTAACCAGATCAGGGCTGCACACAAGAGATCTCATGGGATGCTGCATTCAGCAGCTGCAGGAATGAGTTACCTCCACAAACTGTTATTTATATTGGTGTTTTTCTGCACCAGCTCCAACAAGGGGAATGGGACAGACAACACCCAGCTATGAATTCTGGCAATCAGTGGGGCACAAGGACACTGCTGGGCAGACATTCCTGTTTTAAATTGTGCCCTGGATGCAGCCCAGCTGCAGTTTCTGAAAGGGCAGAGCAGGCTTGCAGCAGGGCAGCACAAACACTGTAACAGCTGGAAAAGAAATCCCACATCTGTGGAGCCTACTGACAAGATGCCCAGTTGGGAAAATGACTGCTATTAAATGAAGGGCACCAACACTATGAGAGGACTGCAGTTCACAGTTTCAGTATAAATACAGTACCACTCCTCTGGGTTTGTTCTATTCAAACTTAAAACCTAACAAAAGATAAACTTGTTACTGACGTTTAAATCAAATCCACAGATAATGTCACCTCCTTCTGTCACACCTCTTAATCCAGCAAACAGTCCTTAACACCTCTGAACCAAGATGACCACAAAAATTGTCTACAGAGAAGTGAAGAGATGCTGTATTTACAAATTAGAATTCCCAGCCCAAAAAGACAGGGTAGGAAGTGACAGCTCTGACATGAATGCTCTCAACTTCTACTTACAGGCAGTGAGCTGCTTTGCTTGAAATTCAGCTTTCAGCTTGGAATGCCATCACTTCACAGGCTCCAAATAAAGATTTCCTGATGGAAATATCTTCTCCCAATCCCTCCAACAAATATAAGAGCCCAAAATGCTGGAGCAGGGTGGCAGCCTGCTCCTGGTGCCTGCTCCTGTGCCGCAGGGAGGCTGCACCAGAGGGCACCCACGGCCTTCTCCCACTGCTGTGCACAGCTCACTCCTCCCACAGCCCTGTTTCCCTCTCCTCATCAGCCATCCTGCATTTTGGGGAATTGATTTCCAGAGGAGAGCCCGGGCACAGCAGGCTGCAGAGGCTGAAGCAGGGCTGGCTTTGCCTGGGTGAATGTTCTCCCAGGATCAGAGGTGCTGCTGCTCAGCACAAAAGCACACTCTGATCAGCCAGTGCCACAGAATGAACCCCAGAATGCCAGAGTGGGTTGGGCTAGAAAGGATCCTACACCTCTTCTCTTCTGCCACAGACAGGGACACCTTCCACTCACCCAGGAATCCCTGTTCAGCTTAAACTTGGACACCTCCAGGGATGGAGCATCCCCAAAGCATATCTGAGTGTACAATCTTTCTTTTCTTTTACTACAGTTGTAATTCCAGCATATAAACAGGATACAACTATGAAAAAGCCCTGTTCTTAGTGAGTAGCTCAAAAATTATTTCATTATTTAAAAAATCCCTAAATTTATCACTAACTTCAGTATGAGATAAAAACCTGCTGAGGACAAAGAGTATCAGTGTCTGTGTACATGGTTTTGCACCACACAACTCACCCTGACAATAAGGATCCACTTAATAAGAGACAGACCAAAGCCAGAAATGGCCCCATATCGTCCTGCAGCTGAAGTAGTCAGGCAGAAAGACAGGAAAAATCCAATCCAGTTGAAGAGGAATGCCACTGAGAAAGCAGGAGAAAAGCAGCAGGTCAAGACACCTTTATATTCCAAGGAAAAAAACCATAAACCCCTTGCACACAGGTTTTTCCTGGTGCTACATAAACTTAAATGTGACCCAAACTATTTTGGGTCACTGCTTGGAAAAAAAGTTCATTCCATCAGGTACTTACTGAAGAAAGTCAGCATGAAAATGCCATCATTTCCTATCCTCAGCTGGTCAGTGTCATCAAAGTCATCCCGTGTCACAAAGTCATCATCCTGCAGTGCAGAGGGAGGCAGCACAGGGGGGATTTAGGTCAGTCCAGCCCACACAGCAACCCCACTTCTGGGTGTGACTCCTCAAAAAAAGGGCTGGAACCCTAATTCTCAAAAGGCTACAAATGCAAGCACGACAAAATTCCTGATTCTCATCCTGAAATGGTGCAGGGCATGAAATGTTATCTATATAATAGGAAATGTATCTTTATTTTTAACATAGTCAAGATCCAGCATGTTCTTGTTCTCACTGTGAAGAATTCTTCAACTCATCAAAAAATTATCATCTCAGCAAGGAATTTGGCTTCTGTGAAGAAGTGTAATGAGCAGTGGACTTCTAATGCTAGCAGGGGTGGAGGGAATGGCTGAACAAAAGATAATGTTGAAAAAAACCAAAAATATATAGCTCTGACAGAATGGTTTTATCGTCCTTGTATCAGCTACACTGACCTCCAGAAAATTCAACTAAGTAAGCAGCAGGAGTGTCAAGGGTAGATATGGCAGACAGCTGAAGAATTAATCCTAAATCTTTTTTTAAAATGAAAAAAACCCAACAAACACCCCAGTGTCAGTGCACAGGGATACAGCACAGTCCCTCTGTCAGCTTGCCAAGCTAATCTGGCTAGCACATGCTGGCATTACTGAGATGTCTGACATCATCACAGTGCTCAGAGGAAAATCTTAAAAAAAAACCAGCCACAGGACTCAGAAGTGTGGAATATCACCACCCCAGAAAGCTTCAGAAACACAAAAACCCGTCACAAATGTGAAGAGTCATGATGCCACACGACGGGCAGGAGCTCAAGCTGCAATGCAGGAGCAGGACAGGGACAGGCAGGGACACTCACCCTGCCAGGAACCAGGGGAATGGTGGCCTCAGCCTTGGTCCTCTCGGCCTCGTCGTAGCTGGGCAGGGTGGTGGCCACGTTGTAGGACGGCGGCTTCGGGAACCCCGACTCATCCTTGTAGTCAAAGTAAGCTGCACAAGAGCAGTGACACAGGAGGGAACTCAGCACTGCCCCAGGAACACCCGGCTGGGAGCCAGAGTGCTCCAGGTGGCATTCCCCAGGATGTTAAAGCCTGTCCCCTCCCACCCTTCCACCCATGCCAGCCTCCTGCCATCCCAAAGCAGAGAGGGAACAGCACAGGAGCACCTTGTCTGATAGCCAGCAACCCACAGAACACTCACTGAACATGTCTGGCCGTGCTTCTGCTTAAAACAACACCACATGCTGTGCCTCTGCTGACTTGGATACTCAGAAATAGTCACGTTTCCAGATCCAAGTGGTTATTAAAGTGATTAGTGACAGGACAGGAGGATGAGTCAAAGTCCCATCCTTCTGACCAAGTGCTTAGTTATTGGAAAGTGCAGAAAAGTGAATTCTTTAAACCCTTTTAAGTAACGAATCCTTTAAGGAAGGGGCACAACATCATCCAAATGCCAGATAATGAGAGGGGAACCACAAATCCTCCCAGCTTTGATTTTTTAACTGTCTCCAATTTACTGAGAACACTGTGGACTGTAACTTGAACACCCCTTGATGGGATGACATCAGATGAGCGCAGCCAAATTGCATCTCCTAAACCACAAGCACCGACAGGCTGTGTGGATCAATCCTGATCCGTGCAGCTTGGGAAGGTGCTGCAGAGCCAGCCGTGGAAGAGGAGAGCAGCCAGTGGCAGCAGAGCCATGTCCCCAGGTGACAGTACCTGTGCTCTCTGCAGAAATGCTGCTGTAGGGCGGAGGGGCGTCGTTCACCACGGGCACGGCCTCGCCCGGCTCCTCTTCATTCTGCAGCTGAACAGAACCAACAGCAGGGCTCAGGGGGTGCTCAGAGCTCTGAGACCACCCCTGCACTTTAACTGCACACAGCAGACTCTTCTGGAAGGAGGCTGCTCTGCAGCACCACGGGACACAGAGCAGCTGCTCAGCCTCCCTCCGAAGCGCTCCCACTTGAAATGATCCATCTTCCATCTCAGTTTTAATGTTTTTTAATCACCTCCTCACACACCTGGACTGCAGCAAAGCACAGCACACAGCTTTCCAGTACCTTTCCATTTCCCTGGCATTTCCTCAGCTCACACTGCTTAGAAGCTGCAGTTGCATCTGTTTTAGTCAAAGAAATACAGTGAGATACCCAACAAAAGGCTCCATTGCTGCCTGTGGCTTTGCTAAGGAAGGGTTTTTTCCATGGATACATTACATAATGATGCACAGAAGTACAAATGTTGCCATTTCCCTTCAACCTTTCACACTGCATGACTGAAAAGGAGCCGGTTTATTTTGTGCACTGTGCTTCCCACAGCTCTGTATAAATAACCAGGAGCTATCACAGACCCAGCATCACCCGCACGAGGCAGGTGTGCCGTGGCAGCTTTGATCAGGGAAGCAGCAGTACCAGGCCAGAAAGGAGGTTACAGCTGCCATCTCATGTTTCCCTTCCATTCCTCACCACCTCAGCAGCAGAAGCACTGAGGTTTCCTGCAGAATAACTCACCTCAAAAGCACCTCCAGACTGAAGCACTGGGCTGAGCAGGAGGCACTGCCCTCGTTTGAAACCACCACTAAAAGTCTCCTCCAGCTCTCCCTCCTGCAAGCCCACACATTTGCGCCTGAAGCCATCCAGGATATTTTGCTCTCTTTTCTTTGGAGAGACACATTGCCATTCTCCTTGAGCATTTACCACAGGGGTGGGGGCATAGGGGGATGTTCTTATCTTATTTGTATCAGGGGAAAATAAATCAGCTTGCACTCCTAAATACAGATCTTGGATATCCAAGTGTTCTATGCTTTGGAGTTTTATTCCTTTTGCTGCTTAAGATCACGGAATGGTTTGGGTTGGGCCATCCCTTAAAGCCCATCCAGTGCCACCCCTGCCATGGGTAGGGACACCTTCCACTGTCCCAGGCTGCTCTAAACCCCAGTGTCCAGCCTGGCCTTGGGCACTGCCAGGGATCCAGGGGCAGCCAGAGCTGCTCTGAGCCAGGGCATGTCTATAATCCATACTCTGCTCCAGGGCACACTACATCCACACCCTCTGTGAGAGCCCTGACTGTGCTTAGCAGATGACAACAAGTGGTATTCTGCTGGCAGGTCCAAGGGATCAGCTGAGAGGGGGAAGAGGGAGGGAATTACACTGGAAAGCAGCAGAACAAAATCAGGAGCACTGTCTGCCAGTCCAGGTGCAGCAGCACAGCAGAGCACCACAGTCCTGCACTCCAGTTCCACGCCAGCCTAAGCTCACTCTGCTCCCCAGGAACATTTTCTAAACAGAACAGGTGGGGAAGAAAGAAAGAAAGGGTGCTTGGGTCAGCCCCGAGCTGTGTGGATAAGCAGTCCTCCCTCACATGACAACGCTGAACCTTTTCCTTGAAGGAGGAGGAATCAGTGATCGGATGAACATTTAATCCGTGCTGCAGGGAGCAGCTCCCAGCACAGCTGTCAGCAGGACAGCCCCGAGCTGCTCCCTGCCAGATGTGGGGCACAGCAAACCAGCCTGGGGTGAGGCCCTGGGGCAGGACCTGCCTCACCTGCAGCTTTGCTGAGCCCCCGGGCACCCGGCAGGGCCAGGAGGAGCTGCAGCAGCTCCCACCACAGCGAGGCACCCAAAGCCTCTCCAGGGAACAAAAACACCTCGTTTATAAACCCCACGGAGCTCAGCACTAGAAGTAAATGCAAACTAACTTGAGAAGCAATTGCCTGTTAGAATATGCTTTAATTTTTTTTATAAAAAGACAGCATTGCTCCAGAAATCCCAAACCACCCTGCACAGAGCACGAGGGGCAATGCAGGGGACAGGAAAACACAAACTGCTTGATTCAATCTGCCCAGAGAGGCTGCCCCTGGATCCTTGGACATGGCAAGGGTAAAAAAAGATTAAAAAGATGATCTTTAAGGTCATCCCAACCAAACCATGCTGTGATTGCATGATTCCCCCAGCTCTGTAGTTTATCAATTCTCAGAAAATGCTCCACCACGTTTATTGTCAGTCTATCCATGCAAATTCAGCACTTCTTTTCTCCCTCTGCCTGTGCAGAACCTGGTCTATTGAGAGGAGGAAAGGCTGTGTCACAGCTGGGACACTCTGGATTCCATGGGCCCTCTGTTCCCTGCTCTCCAGGGGAGGGGTGGCAGAAATCCAACCCCCCATGTAAGAAAGAAGGCAGGTACAGCCCGAGAGCACAGTCACCAGGGAGCGGGGAGGAAAGTACCACATGTGACAACGCTGGAAGAAATGACACAAAAGAGGACACAGATATTGAGTGGAATATTAACTCCTACCACTGGTTCTTCTTTCAATCGTAAAAAGAAATACATCTTCTTCCACCAGCGTCACGTGGGAGAAAGCAGCTGAATTCACTGCATCCCAGTTCAGGTAATGGGTAACGACACAAAAAATGCAGCTACTTTCTGAAGTTGAGCTTGAGGCTGTAGGAGGTTGCAGTTATTATAGAAAACATATTTTTCTTCTAATGGACAAGGTACACAAATGCCTTCCAGCCTTTTTAATGATTCCAGGCATCTAAAATTCAACTAAGTGCCTATTAGCAGAGCAGGGAGGGTTCATGTGACAGGAAGAATGACTCAACAGGCTCGCTGGCCTGGCCTGGCCCCGCTCCCACCTGCCCTGCTCAGCCCCAGGTATGGACTCCCAGAGACTTCCCGAGGCCTCAGAACCCAGAGAGCCTGCTGAAAAGCAGGGTCTGGCTTCAGCCTCTTCTGCTGAGGCTGTGGGGTAATTCTTTCCTAGATTCACTGATGGATTTTAGCTTTTCAGGCAAGGTTTTGCTAATTCATAGCATAAAAAACTAAGTCTTTACAGCCATGCGTGTAGTTATTGAAACAACAGCTTGGCTGGGATTTTCTCACCAGACTGCTAAACCAACAGAAAGTTGACTGACAGAACACCCAGGGATAATTATTTTTTTAAAAAAAACCCCATCATCAGAAGCCAGGCACTGAGCAGGACATCACCTCTGGTTGCCACCTGCCCTGACCAAGACCTGTCCCATGTAAATACACAGCACAGCAACATAAAAGTTGAAATCTTCCAAGCTGTCTGGAAATATTTTCATGTAAACTTGGAAAAAAAAAGCATTTCCAATAAATATATTGGTTAATTCTTCCAAATTTCCCAAACTCAGCATATGGGCTGCTCACATAGTTTTGAATCTTTATTTTTTAACTCCCCTTTGCCAAGTTCTGAGGCTGCATGTAAATATTTTTTACTCCAAATGAGCATCACTACACCAAACCAGCATTACTTCAAGCTTGGCCTTAGCAATAGATCACATATCATTACATATCTTCAGCCTTTTGGAAGTAAATTAAAATCACTGCCAACTCTAAAAAGGAGAGTAATTTTTACTGATTTTTGCTTTACTTAATTAAACACATCCTGATTTAAAATCCTGACTTTTTGCTCGATGTTGTTGCAAATTTCTTTAACTTAATATCAGCTTATTAATCAGCAGGGGTAATGATAAGGTACCAGACAAGCCAGCCCACACCCTCCAGCCCTCTCCCTGATGAGCAAATAACAGTTTTCCAGCCCGTTTCCCTGGAGCAGTGACAGCCCCGAGCGTCTGGCCCAGCCCCTGCACGGGCACAGGTGTGCTGAGCACCTCTCAGGTGACACAGGTGGCACCTGTGCCAAGCCAGCCCTCCCTGGCAGATGCTGATGCTCCTGCCCGAGCCCCGCTCCCCGAGCAGAGCCCAGCCCCAGCAGTGACCTCCCTACACGTGCCAGCCCCAGAATTGTCCATGGAAAGGGTGCTCAGGCCCTGGCAGGGGCTGCCCAGGGGGGTCTGGAGTGCCATCCCTGGAGGTGTCACCTGGAGGTGGCACTCAGTGCTCTGGGCTGGGATAAGGTGGGCATGGGGCACAGCTTGGACTCAAGTTTTCCAAACTGAGTGACTTTGAGATTCTGAGATACTTGAGTGACTTTGAGATTCTGAGATACGTGAGTGACTTTGAGATTCTGAGACTTAACAAAGGCCTGGAAACCGTGTCCCCAGTCCCCAAAGCCAGGTGTTCCTCCCCAGCTGGAGCAGTCCCTGGGTGAGCACACACGGAGCAGGAGCCAGCAGCAGCATCCATTGAGGGGGTGATGGCAACAACCCCCTGAGCCACCAAAAGGCAAAAACACACATCAAAACCTGTTTATGGCCATAAAATACAACCTGTGCTCATGAGGGTGTTGCCCTCTGACTCACTGCAGCCAAGGGCCTGACACCACAGAAATGCTCCTCAGTCCTGGGAAACAAGCTGGTCTAATTCCTGTTTCTGCTCAAACAGAGAGTTAGACTGGTCTGGACAGACTGGAAACAAGCACTGGGGCCAGCACAAACCTGTGCCACACACTGGCCTTAGACTTGAGTGATCAAGGTCTTAATATGGAAAAATTAGGTTTTAATCTTGGATAGCTGTAATTAAATTTCCCACACTTAAAGCATAAGGCCTTCTCATAATATTTAGAACCAGATTAATATTTTTCTGGACATTAGGGTATTTTGGTAAGACTTCTAAACATTTTAAAATATCACATTTTTTTAAATGGTCATATGAAGAAGGTTAAGTATCTTCCATGGAAAAAATCCCATTGTGCCACCATAGATCAAATTTGGATATTTCACAACAGGCAGAGACAGAATGATTGGATAGCCCTTGATACTGAATTTTGCTCACTCGTCCCCATGACAAAGGATCAGAATTCACACACATACAGAACTTCTGATCCTTGCATTCTGTAGGTTAAGTCATGATGTCAAACCCACAAAAAAGGTTGCTCATCTCCTGGGAGCACTCAACAACCCAAAGCCCTCAGGGATTGTTCCTACAGCTGCTTCCCAATGGGGTTACTGAGCCCCCTGAATTTTAGTCATGAGAGAAAAGTTACTAAAAAAGCCCAACTCAGAGCTCAACACCATCCTGATGCCTGAGATAATACTGTATTTAAAAGTTTGTATGCAAAGCTATTTTCTCCTGCT